TAATATTAGTAGGGGGTTGTTGCAAGACTGACACTAAAGTTCATTTACACAGCTTTGGGAACAGATCCACACATTGCTATTACCTGACCTTCAGACTTCATGTAGCTTTGCAGGGGGAAAGAAAACTGGAATTTTGAGATTTTTTGTTTGCTTTTGTGGTGTATGTATGTGTGTGTGGAGTATGTATGTGTATGTCTATATGTATTTTGCTGTGCTTCTTTTGTTTGCTTTGTTTTTTCCAGAGGAAATTTCTGTAAATATGTAACACAAAAGAATTTAAACACAATTGCTTTAAGGTGATTAAAAACCACAATAAAAATCATGTTACTTGGAATAGCAGGATAACTTAAATCAGAAAGGCTTTTTACAGGTACAGGGTGAAGAAGGGAAAAAAAAAATGTTAAAGCTGCTGAAACCAGGACAGTAATTCAAGGGCTAAATTTCTCAGAGGCCATGGAAAGGAAAGCAGGATTTCTGATTTCTATAAAGATATGAAAGTCATCCTTGTGGAGTTGCTGCTAGGGACAACTTAGCCTAAGAGGGACACCAAATAATTCTGATTAACAAGATTATGAAAAAGCAACAGATCACTTTCATAAAAGTAATCTGAAGCTGTTAACTATATTTTTAAAAATTGATTGCATCCTCACTCTTTCACTAAAAGATGCCTCTGCCAGGCCATCATTTGTTGTTAATGCAAACATAGACCACAGAATCTCCATTTTATTATACATACCTCATCAAAGAGATGGGCTTCAACTACACATCTGGTCTACATGGCCAGTAAATGGGAAAACACAAAATAATATTTTTCATTATAACATTAAATACTTGTCCTATGCTATAAAATTTAGTGAAGTGAAAATAGTAAAGTACAAGGAAAACAGAACAATATACAAACACACATGCAAGCAAGATTGAAAATCTATTAAATGCCAACATAATGGAGGAATCACAATGAGATCTCAAGGTTATGGCTGGTTAACATATCTTCAAGACGATCACAGTAGGGCTGAAAGTTTTTTGTGGTTTTCTCTTTTTTCCCCCCCCCCCCCCCGTGTAGCACAGAATAAACTTCCATGGTATTGCAGCTGTACTAGAGCAACAATCAGTGTATCAGAGACAAATTGTTTCTTCTACTGTAGCCTCAAAAGCCTTTTGTATGTCTTGTTACTTTCTACTTACTCTTCAACACTACAATAGGATTCTCACTTCTGGCTTTATTTCACATAAAGCAAAGTGAAACAGAAGTTTAAAGATCTTGGTTTTCTCATAATATGTAGTTCATGGTATGAAATATGCAAAAATAATGTTTAAGAGTAATCTATTTTATACTGTCTTTCTTTATGAAATGAAAAGATGTAAAAGTGAAATTCCATAGCTGAGAAATTCCATACCAGATATACAAACAATTTGCAAACACTACAAATTTCTTCTGTCAAAGCTATCTGCTAAATAGAAACATTTTATATAAGGGTCAGAACAATCATGTTACCATTTTGAAGCATTAAAAAAAACCCCAACTATAGAACAACTAGTCCTTCTTTAGAAGAGGATTAAGTAAAATAATTTGTTCACATGCACACACAAATAGATATGGCTTCTAAGATAAAAGTTTTCAATGTGTAATTTTACGTAGCTTTTTCCATACCCTAGTATATCTAAGGGGACAAATCTCTCATTAGCTTATATCTGTTTACCTCCAGTAATTCCAGTGTGGTTTCAGAGTTGATCTGACCCATGCTAACAAATGAAAACTATATTGTGTAACATATTAAGCAAGACTAGGAAATGTTTCCTAGGATAAATTTAGAAGAAAAAGATATTTTAAGATATCTTTTTGACTTGTAGTTACTATAGTAACAACATATTCCTTTTTTTGCTGTACATTTCTTTACTGTATACTCAGAGCTCTACGTGACAAAACAACTATTTTACAGTCTACAATTTAGTCTCAAGAAAAAGATTTTCCCCCTCTGGGAGAAGAAGATTAGACTGGAGCTTACTGAGCTTCTAAAAGTTTGGGGTCTGTCAGCATTTCTGACTTAATTTCAGGGGTTTATGACCTACTTATAAAACTTCTTTATGGAAGGAATCTTAGCACAGTTGCCTCCTTCTGGAAACATTCTTTAGTGTTTTTAATCAAAAATTTTAAAATCCATTTCACAGCTTAATTTATAGGCAAATTAAAAAACAGTTGACTAGAGTAGTGACTTCTGATATCAATTGTGCTAGAAATTAGATAAAAAGCTGATAAAAAAGAACACAGCATCAATAAAATTAAAGAAATTATGTAACTGAGTTGTTAAAAGTTGAATAACTTTCTCTGAGCTTCAGTGAGCGTTCTCCATGTACATGTTATAGCACACCAGCTTGTTTGTGTAACAATGTCAAGAGTGCCTATTATATATAGTATATATACTATTATATATAGTACATATAGTGCTTATTATATATAATATATATTATATTCCATTATATTATATTATGCTACAAATATTTCAGATTTATTTTCAAAAGCAAATCAGAAATTTAGTTCTCTCACAAGTAATTTGGTTCTTGATTCTCATTCAAATTATTAGAGGTTTATTGCTAAAATATATATTAAAATTTTAGCTGAATATATATAAATGCTTAACAATAAATAAAAGGGTTCAGATTTTTCACTGACACCTCTGAAAACCTGTGACTCCATCTGGATCGATGCTTCTGAAATTTAAATCAGATTATTTTTTTCTATCATTAAGTGTACAAAATTATTCTGAATCCATTCTAACAGGTTAAAAACTAGAATGTGCACTATTGATGTCTGAATTTTTTAGCAGGAATAAATGGTTTACATTCAAGAAACCAAGCTATAAAGCCAGGTCTGGAAAATTTCCATATTTAAAACACAGGCATGGCTGCTCCTGCATGATCTGCTGTATTTCTTTTGGGAGGAGCTCAACATCTTGGGCAGAGGTCAGCAACAGGCTGCTACAAATTGTGGGTTTCCTAAAGTAATTACCTAACTACAGTGTGAACATATCTTAGGTTCTTAAATCACTTCATATCCTGGAAAATATACTTTTCATTCTTCCCTCCTATTTTCTTTGTAAGGTGAAATGATATACTTACATAAACAGACAATCTGGTGGGTAATTTTTTCAGTTTAAGAATTATCTCATTAAGTGAAGAAATGTGTTTGAAGAAAACCTCAGAGCCTACAAACAGTCAGCTCATATAACACAGATGTTTCACTATAGACTCTTCTTTACCAAGAGTGAAAATTCAAAAAGGAGAGGTTTTTCTGTAGGCTTTTTTACACAGTATTTCAGTATTAGGTATATGTTTTTCAATACACAGCTAAATCCATAGCAATTTCTGGCTGACCAGACTTTACACAAACTAAATATATTACCCTGCCTTTATCAACTGAAGTAGGAATATGATGTCATTCTCTAAAATCTGGCTACAGTGTCTTCTGTCCCATGTCATAAAGAAGTGAAAGTCTGAATGATGTAGCATTTCAAATCATTACCACTTTTGAGCAGATATCTAATATCACTTATTGAGGGTTCAAACCCCTCAGGAACGGCAAAGGCTGACGGAAGAGAGTTATGAAATTAGAAATGGCAGCACAAGATCAGTCAAGGCCATTTATCTTCACAGATGAATATTAGGTAAGTTGGTGAGTCCTTAACCTAGATCATGGCTTCTAGGTACAGTAAAAGCACAAATAGCAAACTGTGCACTGACGTGTTAAGCATATGCATAGTTAAAAAAAAAAGAAAAAACAAAACCAAAAACAAACAACCCCCCCCCAAAAAAAAAAAATAAAAGCCATAAAATTCAAAATTGTAGCACAAATTATTCTGTGTGACATTGCTTCTATTTCCTCTCATCAAAATGTCCTGTTTCCAATGAAGTTTTAAAGTTCACACCTCAGTGAAGTGAAAGGGGCATAGGATATATGAGATTCCTGCTTTGCTGCTGTTGTTTGAAATAGAAGACTACTCATTAGTGCTTTACTAATGGTTGTGATAGCTGTGACTTTGCAGTGGAAAAGGTCATCTTATTATAAAAACAGCAGGCACAGCATTTTCTGAACAGTATTGCACACAGCCAAATCCACCATCAGAGGACTCACCACTTTTTTCCACCTGCAGTTTTCTTCTTTTATTGACTTTTATTTTAAGCAATCTGGACTTTTTAAATTATTGTATTAGAGGTCTCAATGAGTGATTTGCAAAATACAACTTTGATCCTGGTGAGGCCCCCTGATCAGAAGAGTAGAGGGAGCATGCAGACCTTTCTCAATAATAGCCCTTTGACCTGAGTGCTGATGTATATTATCAGATGTAGCTTATGATATTTTTTAATTGATGCAAATGCTGCTTGGTTAACACAGTTTCAAGCACTCTTTTGCTGCCTTGATATGTCAAGGAAGCGAAGGAGTAAAGTCACAGTAATTTGCCTTACTTTTGTTTAAAGTATTGTAGAGACATACTTCACCTGATACAGCTCAGGAACCCTCTGAGACACACTCTCATGGGAGAGAGTAGGACACAAAACTGCTTCCTCCCCATCTCCATGAATATTGCAGGTTGCATTCCTTCTAGCCCTACTCTCCTATGAAGGATGTCACAAGCCAGTTCTTTGAAAGCACCATAATATATATAGAATACCAGTAATTAAATATCATTTAAGCTATTTGGAAATTTTCTTGATTCATTGTTCCTTTCTTACAGATTAATCTTCCCAGTTTGATTAATAAATAGAAGTTACAATAGGAAGAGAATTGTAGAAAAGAAACATTGGGCTAGTCACAGAAAAGGAAAATATTTTTCTCATTTTTATAAGACATCTTAGTTATTGACTGCTTCCTTAAGGCAGTGCTCTGGTCTAGAATTTGACTATAAAACTTACATCTTGGGGTTCTCTCTCAGCGACTTCAGTCTTTTGTGATCTCATTTTCTCAGCCTTCCTTTTCCTTTCCCTTTATATTTTTTTTCCTTTTCCCTCATGAATGCCAGTTACAAGAACAAAATTGTCTTTTTGATTCTAGAGACAACTTGAGGTTTTTCCTAGGCACAGTTAAACACCTGCAGTGGAAAAAATGCACATATGGTCACTGTTTGACTTAGAAGACCTCAAAATGTAGTCTAAAACTCTAATGGCATAAATCAGAAATCATCAAATATTGCACTCCTGGAAAACTTCAGTAAGCAGAGACTGTGGCCCAATATACTTGACAGATGGAATGAGAAGAAGAAAATCTGACCTCAGGCTATGCTTGCTGAAATGACAGTTGGAAAAAAAGAAGCCAACATTTATAGTAGGGGGAAATCATAATAAATTGTAAATCCAACAAATGACATCCAGAATATTTTTCTACTGAACCTTTGAAGTCACTCTTAGGGAATGTCTGTTTCACTTACCTTAGGCTAAAGGAATGACCTTCCATCACTCGTCTCGTACATTGCAGACTGCAACACAGCTATCCACACTACAATCTTTGTTCTTCAGGAAGAGACTCTCTCATATCTATTAGTGGGAAACAGATAGCAGTAATGATACAGGATGAGAAATCAAGACTGTAGAATTGTGGACATGTTCCAGATAGATTTCTTGCAATCTATGGGACAAGAAGTCCCAAAATCCTGCAGAGAAAAGGGCTGTGAGATGGGCAGAATATTTGTCTATGCACATTGTGTTTAGCAAACCTGGACTTTTGAAGGACCATGGAAGTGTGCTTTAAATGGCAAAAATCTAGCCCAATCCTTGTAAACTTCCTATTCTTAAAAAAGTCCCATAATGAGTTTAAGACACCTTTCAAAGAAAGTAAAACCTCTAGAATTGTGCAGATCTACCATCATGAACATTTCCTCATGTTATCATGTCCTGGTTAGGAGTACATTGTTGAGAGCTCTAAATACATAAGTTAGGTTCAGTTCACACCCTTAAATATTTTTAGTATTGAAAAGTAGTATTGAAGGTTTTAAGAAAACCAAAATTCATCTGTTATTTGTATCAAATATGTCAAAAAGAAGTGCACTTCACAAGTAGTTGGAAAAAAAGTTCTGTATCTAGCTCTGATAGCTCTAGATATTGATTCATGACAAGGCAGTGACTTTTTCTTTCTGTATTCCACAATCAAATTAAAATTGTTAAGCTGTTGAGATCATAACATGGTGACAGTTCTTTTTAGATCTCATTAATTTTTTTATCAAAGGATCAAACATAAACAGGATAAAGATGAATTCTGAAGCCCATCCAGATTCATCTATCAGGTGATGACCCAAACAGCTTTACAAAATGATTATTCATCATTATGAAGGAAGAAATTATACAGAATTTTTTTGCCAGTAGTAAGACATACATATATACAAGAGTCACTCTGAAGATTTAACTATAACTCAGATGTTTTATGTTTCACTATTTTTCTGTCCTCCTCAAAAGCAATTTGCAGTACGTCATTGATCTGTTTAAATAAACTTTCTAGTCTCCACAAGGGCTGGAAGACTTTGCTTCCCCACAACAGAAATAGACTTTCAATGGAAGAAAACAAACCTTGCTGTTTTTTACAGTCTAGGGAACCTGAGTTTAAAAATTCACTTGGTCTTGTGCTCCCAGCTTTGTGAAGGCCAGACTCCATCTCTTACCTTGGGTTGTATTTGTTTCCCTGCACTGTGGTCTTAGACATTAGTCTGTGCAGAGTTCTTGCCCAGGAAGTCAGATACTTGATCTAGGTCTTCCTATCTCCCAGAACTGCCATGTGTGTTGTCCAGGACTTCTTCAGTGACCACATTAAAATAGTCCATTGAATAAAGAACCTCTCATACCATGGCAAATATAATGGGGTATTTCTTCTTGGTTCTTTTGTTGTATCATAGGTTTTCATTCTTGTGTGTACAGCAACCCCTCTAATGGAAAGAAGTGCACAGCAGCCATATCCTTTAAAGTTTTTTTTAGCCTTAGGAATAGGCAACTCTTGAAAATGAGGAGCAGAACGTATAGAGCACCACATGCTAACCTGATACATAATTCACTGTTCTACCTTGAAAGCCTTTGCCAAATAACTTTCTGCTATGCTATAGTTGAGTTCCAACTTCCCCATTAACAATGTCACCAATTAATTGTTGTACTCTTAATGATAGGAAACATGGTCATGATGTTCTTTCTGAATAAATTCTGTTCAAGATTAACCATACATAATGGAACAGTTTCCCCACAGATCATAAAAGCTGGATTACTGTCTTCCAGTTTGAACCATCATAAGAATATGGGTAAAATCTAGATGTCAAGCTGGTAAGACCACCCTGCATTTAAGATTCCTCATAACTATTAAGAGCGTGAAAGTTGTCATTGAAAATAAAAATATAAAATAATATCTGGTTTGTTGTTTTGATGTCTTGTAGACAGATGTTTTAATATCTGTCTTCTCTTTGACTACCTAAAAAGCAATATGTTTCCTTCCAGGTAGTTCTAAACTGATACAGAATCTAGAAAATCCATCTTATTTCATTAATTTAAAAGATTATGCTCATCTAAAATGTACACATGTAGTAATATCTTGAATTAGTAAAGTTCTGAAGGTTAAATTCCAAAATAGAAAGTTACAGATATAGTAGTCTATAATATTCTTTAAGAATTTAATGTACCTGAAGAAAACTAATTTCAAAAAACTTATATTAATACTACTAGAATGAATCTAACATAGAGTATACAACTTTTAATAAGTGAAAGTACAAACTGAAACTAAATGTGTAAACTATGTCTAAACCCAAAATTTTGTTTGTTTCCAGATAGAGAAAAGCTGCAGGAAACTATAAAACACAGTAAAACAATATTTATAAAAATCTTGGAAAGCAAGACACTATTTTTTGTAATAGTGATTTCTTACTCTTTTGAAGAAACTATCAAGAGCAACAAAATATTTGTTTTAGTAGAGATTTTTACTGATTTTTAAATGACCCATAACAAAACAAAACTAATGTATAAAACAGCAGTAATTTTAAGTTACCAGTATGAGGGAGGGAAGAGGACGCAATGTGATGATGTGATAAACCATGTTTTATGTTGCAGTTCAAAGAGATTGCTATGAAGTAAGTGCTTATTTATCACAAAAGAAGAGTTCATCTGACTACTGTGTTCATTGAAGGACTAGTAGTTCACTATAAATGGAACTAGCCACTCAGTTAAAGACATGGCATTTAATAGGATGTCAAAAGCTAAGGTTAGGAAAAGTTCTCTGTTTTTCTCTATAAACATGAGATTATGTCCTATTGTTGCTGCTGTTTCCTTGTAGCACTCTATCTTGATCCACATTACCCCAGTGTACATTTGTAATGCGAGAGAATTGTAGCAGTATTATAATTAGTTATAGTAATTAAAATTCAGCATTTCACAGAAATCGTTGACAGTGTTTGCATACGGTACTGTTATTTTCTCCTTGTTATTTCAGCCATCTTTTTGACTCACTAAATTTCCCTGAAAAAGCATTTGCTCTTAGCAGATTGAAAGATAAAAGATTTTATAAAAGGCTGTCAGTATTGAAAATGCAGTAGATGTAGGGAACTGCTAATTGCATAATATGATGCTGCAAAACTAGTTAATTTTCCTATTGAATTCCATAAAGTAGTTTTCAAAAATGATCAGAACAGGAAATCTTGATGTGTGACCTTTATATGGAAATCACTTCTGAAACAAAGAGGAACTAAAAGTACAGGAAATGGGTCCTGGGCTGTGGGTGTGTGAAGGAAGACACCAAAGAGGCTGGACAGGGACAGGCATGCCCATTACTGTCCTCAAGGACTTGACAGCATCTATGTGGAGCCTCTTTCATGCTCTCTCTTCAAAGAAAAGAGCAAATCTGCCATTTTCACCAGAAATAAAATAAATAAATAAATAAAACAACCAAAAAAATAGGAAGAGTGTTTCAGAGTCTGAGTTCCTGTTTGACACAAGTGCCTAAGTCATCTATTTCAGTTCTTAAGGAGCTTGACTGTGTAGCTCTTTATATAATCCCCTGGAACCAGCAAGGAACAGTTAAGATATTTGCAATTCAAATATAGAAATATCCTTTTTGGATCTGCTTATTTTCGCAAAAGATCTTTAAAATTGCTTCTGCCATCTTATACACTTAGTTACTAGCTTTAGTATCGCTTATATAAATATTCTGAGATAAGAAAACACTTGTTGGAAATCTAATGTAAAATAATATTTTTTTAATGGAATTTTAAAATATATTATTTTTATACTTAGGAGAGTAATTTCTTATTTAGTTGCACCATACATTTACCCTTTCACAACAGTTACTGACAACATATATATCCTTGAAATATAAGATATACCTATTGTATTTGTAGTCAAAATCATGTACAAGTAAACTGATACATAGTTGAAAACATTCTGACAGAGTATTATTATGTGTATTATATCAGACTAGTGGGATTTTCTGCTAAATATTAAATAAATAAAGTTAAATACAGTAAAATATTAACCTATATATTATGCGCTGTTTGAAGTAAAATGCTTTTGACTGTCTTCTAATTATTTCCATGTGTACCTTTTTCCTCCTGGCAAATAATGTGAAGTTTTTTACTCCATTTTCTGTCTTTCTGTTGTTCTAAGCTCCTTGGGTGGTGGGTAAGGTCAAAATTCTTCAATGAGACATAGCACTTCTCTTAGCTGTTAAATACATACAGAGGAAAATGAAGTTGCATATCAAACGCAAACTTTGCCATTTTTCTATTTTCAAATAATGGAGAAAAATAATCATCACCCAATTACTAGGGTAAATCTTTTGATACAACTCAAATTTAATTACTAATATAGAAAAAAATCCCAAACACTACAAAAATTATATTTTGGGAGTAAGTAGTTGAAAACAATAAACATGAGGTTGTTGTGGTTTTCTAATGTAAAAATAATTTTAATACTAAAAGTTAAATAATCACTGTTTTGTATGGATTAGACATAACTCTAGGAAAATCATGCCCATAACATAAGCACTTCTGAGTTTTTATGCACTTTGTAGACTCATATGTTAATTTTCTAACCTAAAGCATACTGACAATGACTTTCTAGAAGGTTCAAAGGCAAGCTTAAATATCACTCAGTGTATTTTTTCCAACAGAATACCAGAATTACACAATGTTTTAGTCTAATAACAGCTTAGTGTCATTATAAAACCTGTGATTTATGGTGACATGCATTTCACATTCTATTTTTTCTGGTGAAAAACTGAGTGAATATAATTCTCTAGTGGTCAGCAGATTTGCTGTAAACCAATTTAAAAAAAATCTGAAAGTCTCACTAAAGTATTTCATTAAATACTACCCAATTAGCCTATTGTTTTCTTTTAAATATCCTCTATTTGATTTTTTTTCTAACAAAGAACATAATAAAAGATAGGGGAATTTTGTGAGGAAAAATAAAATCTGGTGAAACTCAGCTGAGTTCCAGATTTATGTCAGGTATGAATTTGGATTGATATATTGTCTGGATAAAGCAGCTG